TTGCAATTTAACTTCATATGACCATTATTATACTGAACCAGTTTAAGATGGAGTAACACTTCAGGTTTTTTTTCCAGAGAGGAAAAGAAAGGAAGGAAGGAAGGAAGGAAGGAAGGAAGGAAGGAAGGAAGGAAGGAAGGAAGGAAGGAAGGAAGGAAAAGACTCAGAGTGAAATCTATCAACTGTTTCCAGTTGGTCAGTTGTGGTCAACATTATGAAATGTCAGATATCTTGTAAGAAATGAAACACTATTCCTTGTCAACTAGTGATTAATTTCTTGGGAATATTTGTGGTTTTTGTGCGCACAAGAGAGATAAATAGATAGTGAAGTTTGTCAGTGACGGCATCTGCAACCATAGCAGGAGACATTTTGTTTTGTGAAGCAAAGAACAAGATAATGCTCTTCTCTGCTGCATGAATATAAGTAAACCATCAAAGCTTACTTCAGTATTGGGAATAGTTTTTGAATATACAGTACTAACAGCATGGTAGTTGATGTGGAAGACAGACTGTGTGGCATATATAATTTTGACCTCTAGGAGAGAAGAACAGTAAAAAAGTGCAGATGAAATTGAATTGGGAAACATCCCTTGCTCTCCTAAGACAGTTGCATCATTTTTCCTTTGTCCACGCATCTATGTGTGGACTCTAACCCAACAATCTAATGTGACCATGAAGGTCAAAAGGGAGGCTCACTCATTCACTAAAATATACTTGATATGCATTTTTCCCATTAAAATGGGAAGGTTGAAGTGGGAAAATATTATGAAAAGTAATTGGTACAGAAGAGATGCAAAAGTCTTTAGTCTGACAATTTAGATTGGCTTATAGATCACTGCTACTATAAAACCAAAAATCATTATAGTCAAAACAGCAAATATTAAAAGGAAAATAAGATGCCCAAACTGTATACATCTTTCATAGTAATTCCATGGAAGCCATGGTGTGAGGGGGAGACAATACTGGGGGAACATTCACTTTCTGCAATCTGCTAAATTGTGACTAAGCAAGGTAGAAGGTAGCAAAAGTGTGAGTTTTTCTCCTTTCCCCTTTTTATTTCATTTTTTTTTTCTTTCCACTGATTCCATTGTGAATGAAACTAATCTTGTTTTCTTCAGGATTGACCCAGTTTTCTTACTCCCTATTGCAAGGGCACATTCCTTAATCTAGGAGTCTTCAACCTTGGCCCTTTTATGACTTGTGGACTTCAACTCCCTGAGGAATTCTGGGAGTTGAAGTCCACAAGTCATAAAAGGGCCAAGGTTGAAGACCCCTGCTAATCTGTCCCAAGAAAATCCATTTTTGCCTTTTTACTGATACTGGAACTTTGCTGGTAGTTTCAGTCCCAACATCAACATATTCTGCTGGTGGTCATGAGAAGATCTCTCCCTCTCCACAACATCTCAAGCTCCATAATTGCCTTCTGAAGTACCAAAGTATCATATCTTCAATATGGAAATGAGGTTTAAATCAATAGAGTATTTGAGAATGTCATATGGCTTTGAAATCCCAAAATTAACCACTAACAATCATGTGCTGTTTGCCTTTTGTTTATTTATAATGAAAACATTATTTTAAAAAAGATTACTTCCAAGAATGTTCTGATACAGTTCTTTGCTATGCATGTTATTTCTATCTTTATTCCTCTGCAGTCCTTCTGTTACATCTCCAAGACTTTTCTTACACAAAAGGAATTATTGTTGCCTCATGATTTTTGCTCCTCAATCCCCTGCTGTGCTGTTGCCTTTTGGAGAACTGGAGATTAAAACTACAAAGCAAACCTAGCATACTCTCTTAGATATGTTGCCCTAGCAACATTTTATAAAGCAATATTCTGCCACATAGCTTCAGCACCAACGTGACACTCTGGTTATGAAAATGCTAGATGAATCCTTCCCTCAATCCTTCCCAGTATTTTTAGGAGACTCCTCTATGACATGCAGTAAAAGCATAACAAAAGTGTACTTGATAACCAATTGTACAAGTCATTCAAGGTTTAGGAGTTTTCAATCAGTCCTTAAAAGAGTGTGTGAAAATTTAACTTGATGAGTTTTCTCCTGTGTTTTTATCAGAATCCTCTATATTCTTTGAATCCTTTTACAGTAACATTGGACTAACTTACATTATTATCTCTTATGCTCTATTTTGTTAATTTTTGTTATAATGCTGTAAGATAGTATTACAAAGCTGTGGTGCTTGATCTCAGAATATAAAAATGAGTAAAGGTATTGTTAATTCTATATGTTCCATAATGGATGCAGCTGAGAATAGAATACATGTAGTCCTCGATTTGCAACATCAATTGAGCCCAAACTGTCTGTTGCTAAGCAAGACCATTATTAACTGAATTTTGTTCCATTTTGCAACCTTTCTTGCCACAGTTATGAAGTGAATTGCTGCAGTTGTTAAGTTGTTAACAAGGTTGTTAAATGAGTCTGACTTCCCCATTAACTTTGCTTGTTAGAAGGTCTCAAAAGGCAATCACATGATCTGAAGACACTGCAACTGTCATAAATATGAGTCAGTTGCCGAGCATCTGAATTTTGATCACGTGACCATGGGGATTCTGCCACGGTCCTACATGTGAAATACGGTCATAAGGTAGTGCCGTTTCAGTGCCGTTGTAACTTTGAACGGTCACTAAATGAACTGTTGTAAGTTGAGGATTACCTGTATCTCCTTTGTAAGATTGTGGGAAGCCAGTTAATATATTCTGTAACAGATTTCCTAAAAATGGTTAAGATTATTCCAGACATCTCCAAAAATCTTACTTTTGCTGAGTTACTTTATGCCTTCAGAACTCTGAAGGAAGCTTACACCACTTGGAATGGGGCCTAGAAAATTTCATAGTAAGTTTTCTCCTCATTTTACAAGGTTAAGTTCATCCATACAGAAAAACATTTAATAATGCACGAAATATCTTTCAAGAAAAGAAATGTTGATACTTTTTAGTACTAATTCAGTTTACTTTGAAACCATGATTTGGTACTCAATCATTACAAAGTCATAAAGAAATTGAAACTATTTACTTCTTTTAAACCAGGTGTGGGCATGTCCAACTCACGGCCCATGGGCCACAAGTGTCCCCGGACAGCTAGTAATGCAGTCGCACACAATTGTAAATTTCTAACATTATTGTGTGATTTATGTACATTAACTATTTTATATAGGGCCAAAACAATTTCTCTTCACTTAATGTGGCCCATTCAAAGCAAAAGGCTGGACATAACTGTTTAAAAATCTTGTTAAAAGATGAAGATCCTTTCCTTTCCTTCTCTTCCCTTTTTTTTCTAGTTCAGTCACATATTTACGTTTTGTTGTTGTTATAGCTATATTATTTCTCTTTTTCCATCCTCTTTTAAAATTGGCCTTTATTGTATTAAAGATTATCCTCTTTCTTTAAAATAAAGAGGAAACTTTATAAATAAATAAAGTTTATCCCCTTGGGTCTGTATAATATTAAGAATAATAAAAAAACTGAATAGTTTATTAGCCAGTTTAATGAAACAGTGTGTGTGTGTGTGTGTGTAGTAATTTGAATACTACTAATTGGGGCTTAGAGATTAAAATGAGAAGGCTTTCCTTCCATAATTTGGGGGTGGGAAGGGCTTTTGAATGCAATTCAGGTATGGTATGGTAAATCGAATTGAATCGAATCAAATCGAATAGAATAGAATAGAATAGAATAGAATAGAATAGAATAGAATAGATCTGGAAGGGACCTTGGAGGTCTTTTAATCCAGCCCTCTGCTCAAGCAGGAGATCCTATACTACATTTCAGACAAGTGACTTTAGACAAGTGAAAAACTTACACTATGAAATAATATTTTAAAAATAACTTAGAAATATGGTTTGGGAATAGCAATATTATTCTTACAATATTATTCATTTGGAACAACTCATTTCTGAGGAATACATCTGGTTTCGTTCTTGTCCTGTTATTGCTGTGGTTTTGATTAACATCATCAGAATTGTTAACATGAGTCTGGATCAATATATATGATAAAATGTGCAAATTCTTTCAGATTTGAACTGTTTAAAATTTGAATATCCCAGCCCAAGCATGAAACAGTATTCAAATTTAAATGGAATGTTTTGAAATGAAGATTATTCAAATTGGAAACAATTTGCAGACCTTCATGGGGGGCTTACTGTACATCTATTATGGCACTTATTTTTGAAACTGGGTATATTATAACCATGTATAACTACCGTTATAAGTAAAAAAAATTGCAATGAAAGAATCTAAATCTTATCTTCAGGTATACATTAATGGAGTTTGAATTTATTGATTTATAAAATTTATAGGCCGCCCATCTTACTTCAAGGTAACATTCAATGGCTTATAATCATAAAAAAAATAAAACTTTATACATTAAAAACATAAATATGCTCAGGGCTTTTTTTCTCATAGAACGCCCAGAACAGAGTTCTGGAACCTTTTTTGGATGGAACCTTGTAGGGTAGGCAAGATGGGTTGTATGACATGTGTGAGTTCCAGCACCTTTTTTTTTTTTTTTTAGAAAAAAAGCACTGAATAAGTTGATACACAATTTAAAACACTATGGTCCAATTAAAAAGTGGAGAGGGTGGGAGCAGTGGGGGGGGGAGATGAGATCCATTGTTAATCGATTAATCCCCTCCTCCACTGTGATACTCCCCCATTGGAGCCCCAGCTAACTGGCAGAGCCCAGGCCAGGAGTAGGCAACCTTGGCTCTTTTATGACTGGCTCAGGAATTCTGGGAGTTGAAATCCACAAGTCATAAAAGAGCCAAGGTTGCCTACCCCTGGCCCAGGCCTTCAAGCTCTTCAAGAAGTTCAGAATGGCCAGGAAACTAAAAACATCTTATGCTGGGATATTCAACAACAATTTTGATCAAGAGTATAGTGACTGTGAAAAATGAACAGTTATTTTCTATAATTAAAGAATAAATAAAATAATTTCAATGTGTAACTCAGCTTTCTACCCAGAGGGCAGTCACATTTACACACATAACACTGAAAAGCTTATTCTTTATTCTGATGCATATATTTCAAACATTGTTCATACAATACGACATTGCCTCAGAAATTTAAATATGCATGTGTGATATATGTAGTGTTATGAGCTTAATATATGTGATTCAATTTCATTAAAAATGCATTGCCGAAAACATGAACCTTTCTCTAGTTTATTAAATTCAGCTATTTATAAACTGTTTGTTTTTACTAAAGGCCAAATCTGAAACTTCATCATAGCATTGCTGCTCTACAATTGCAGATATCCCAAATCATCCATTATATGCCCTATTTTTTTGTTTTTTCACCTTTGCAGAAAATTCATTACAGGAGATGATTATGACTTTTTACAACTGGCCATATTTTATAAATGAAGTTTAGAACAGCAGAAACATCCCATAAATAACAAATTAAATTATGCAACTTTGAGACTGCCAAAGTTCATCTTGACTATATTTTAGACCACGAATAATTAAATTCCAGATAATTAATTCTATTACGTTCAGCTTAAACCTAGAATAATTTTAATCAAATTAAGAGTTTTTCAAGTAATAGGCAACACTGATCCTATAACGGGCATATGGGAACAGACAGACAGTTTATTTTTGTATTTATTATAATAACATTATTTTTATCATAAAAATAGTAAAATGGAAAGTAATTTAGCAGGAGATAAATTAGAAAAGCAAGAGTTACTATTGCCAGAAAATACAAGCATTTTTATTCCAATTCCCTTCAAAGAATCACAAGTTTCGTAACAGCAAGTAAATGCAGACATTTAAGGCACATATATTTAATTTCCAAAATGCAATTAAAAATCTAGTATGAGGCTGCAGCATCACCTGCTTTTTCTAAGCATTTTCCCCAATTCCACCCAAACCTACTGTATATCTTCAGCTCTGATTACCTTTTTGTTGGAATTCAATTTTATATGCACCAGCTTTGGACTACTAGCGACAATAGCTGTAAGAATAGTTAGCAGGACTCTTTGTCTAAAAAGTTTTGCATATCTATGTAAGATGCCTTCTATTGGGTAGAGAAATATCAGGGTTTTCATCCCTTCTTTCCTCTCTCTGTTCATTTATGTTATTTATTCAGACTCTGACTGTGTGAGACAGGAAGTGCTGCTCACTCCCTTTGCATTTTGGAGGAGAACACACTACATCTTATCTGTTAAAACAGCGGCCCCCTTTTGGGCACCAGGGACCGGTTCTGTTAGACTAGAGAGGTCCACTTCGTCACTGGAATATTCCAGCTACAGAACAAGGTGCATTTTGTAATGCATGTGGTTCTGAAATGGAAAAAATGGGGTAGTTAATTTCTGGATTGCTTACAATAAAATTTATATAAAAAATGAATTTAGAAGGAAATATTCTCGTTTGTTGCTTCCTTCCTCTCCTTGCTGATGTCTTGAATCTTGAGGCTTGTGACTTATAACTCCCCTCTCCCTCCCCATCATCTGCACACTGTTTTTAGGGTTGGAAACTGCCTGACATCCTGTGTAGGCAGAAATTTCAAACTATGTCCTTTTTTATGGAAAAAAAATTTTTTTTTCAACAGGACTCTCCTTTAATGCTGACAGTAGCACCACTACTGAGAAAAATCCCTTGAAAACACTAATGTTGTGACATTTTTGTCAAGATTGTGATTACAGGAATCAAATGTCCTTTCTATTGTAGTTTGATCAATGATTGGATTTGGGTTACAGGATATGATGTATGCTGGAATGTAAATCAATTCCTTCTACAAATGAATGCAGAGGTCTTTTTTTGTCTAGCAGAATTCATATAGTGAAAGTTGCTGTGGTAGCCCTTGTGTTTTTTCCTCATAAGCTTCTGCAGTAATTGGAGCAGGTGGATCTAAAAGTGACCCTTTTCATCCTGGCTTTTTATTTCCAGCAGAGGGTTCCACAGCACAAATTATTAGAGAGCTAAGAAAAGTGAAAGCTCTCTGCAGAGTGATTCACCTTCTCACAGGAATTATTTTATAAGCCCTCCACATTCCTTGGCAATTGGTATTTCTGGACTGGAATTTTTCTAAGGAATTAAGCATGGAATCTTATCCTTGCTATATCGTCTCACAGTGATCAGACATGTTGGTAGATGTTCCTCCATTAGCTTTGAAATGTAATATGAAATGGCCACATTATACCCTTTCCAACTATTAAGCTGCCCAGAGTAATTTGCTACAAGATAGGTGGGAAATAAATTCAATAAATAAATAAATAATCTTTGCAATAAATCTTCTTGGAAGTTACATCTCACCAGTGCTGAGCTGGCTTGTCAAGCTTGTTCAGCAATTGTTGAAAAAGGAATTGTTGTGTAATTACTTATTTTAATACACCAATTTTCCTTTCAGTGGCTATGATATATAATATAGCAGCTGTTACATAGGTGTGCCATGGTTTACCCATTACTGCTGCATTCTGGACCATTTGAAGCTTCCAAATGCTCTTGAAGGACAGTGCCATATAGAACACATTGCAATAGTCTAATATTGAGCTAAGGCATGAGTGAACATAAACAGTGCCTCCTAATCTAGGAATGAGTGCAATTAGCATGTAAGATGTATTTGTGTATTAATTCTTCTGGTTGTGATTTTTACCTGTACATCAGTCAGAAATCAACAATCCAGAAGACCCCAAATATCACTGAAGTTTTATTGGTTGGAATATTAACCCATCCAGAACTGAGAATGGAAAATATGCAGATCCAAGGAGCCTTAAAACTTGTACCCAGTCAGTCCTGCTAGGGTTAAGCCAAAGCCTATTCTTCTGTATCTAGCCCCCCCCCCAAACATTGGGAAAGGACCTTGATAGTATTGTTTGCTTGGCCTGAAGCAGTGATGTTTAATTAAGTATCATCAGTATACTTCATCCCATGCTGCAAGAAGACTGCTTAGGTGACAGTCTAGGTTGGCCAATTTTTATGATTAATTGTGTAACAATCTGACATACCCAACAAAATCAAAACTTCTTGTGGGTGATCCAAAAGACTGATATGGGTGAACTTTTAACATATACTTATATAGCATGCCCCATTTGCAAGCCCTGTTGCATAAAGCAGCTTGTCTTTGGCTGGACTTTGCATCTTGTAGTTTACACTTGTTGGTTTGTTAAACACATCAGACATGAAATTTTACCATGCTTTCATCTAAAATAAATCAGAACTGTTAACATGAACAAAAGGGCCTTTTATTATTGCACATAATCCAGATGAACAGCAAATAAAAGGTCCTGGATAGCATTGCACAAATTATCATAACTTTTGTTTATTTTTAAAACATGTGATTTCAAAAGGTATGTTTCTGGTGACGATACATCTGTCATTTTGAAAGCCCTGAACATTTTAAGAATATCAAACTATGTTTGAAGGCATGCAAATTGAGGTAAACCCGCTCCTGCTCACCCTAGGATGCAAAACTCCACAAGGCTTGTGCACACATTAGTCCCAATCCAGCAGTTCTTTGGGAGAGGTAAGAAGTCCTGTAGGACCTTTCCATTCATCTTAAAAGAGGCCTCTTGTGCATGAATGGAAAAACTCACACCTTCAGGGACTTCCAGATGAGGCTCTGGATTTTTTGTGTCATCTTGTTCAAACTGGTATTTGGAACAAGAAATAAAGATCCTTTGAACAATATTAAAAGTCAGGACTGTAGAAAGAACAGGCATTATTTGAGACCCAAAATGCCATATGTGATTCATTCTCCCTCTTTTGAATTACTCACATTTATTTCTTTGGTGAAGGCTTGTCCTTATTTTAATGTAAACAAAGCAGTTGCTAGCGAATCAGGGGATACCAATGTATGCACAAGCACCAAGAAGCTCCTTCTCTTTAAGGATATATATATATAATAAACATACATGGCAAGGACAGTCAAAAATGTTTTGCACTCCAAATGGGAGCCTGAGCATTTTGCGCTGTAGTCATCAGTCATATTATATTTGAAAAGGACAAATTTCAAAATCAGTTTGCAATTTGGCATGGAGATCCAGCTGTCTAAAGTAAAATAATTTAAAAAACAACAGCCTCTGGACGGATAGTCTGTGGATCCTGCTTTATATATGCCACAGACTGCAAATGTATTTACTTTATCCTTGTCATTATATTGCAGAGAACAAACTATAAGAAAGAAAATAACCACACCATATTTCTGCAAAAGAGAATTCAGAGGTGGATGGGAATAACCCTAACATTTTTCAAAAAGACTCAGTTTTGTGCTTCATGATAAATAAAGGGCATTGACATCTCTCAAAGAAAATCACATTCCCTGTTGTAAAGCTGCTGGCATACTGAACTGTACACCTAGCAAGCCAGGAAAGAGGCTGTCAGATTTCAAAAGCAAATAACCTGGTTATATTTAAGGGAATATATTTAGAAGAAAAGGAAATGTAACAATAAAAGCCTCAAAACTGCCTATATTGCTATTATTTCATGTTTGAAGGACAAGATAATTTTGAGCAATTTTCTGAGCAGTGTTGCCATACCTCATTCGTTGGTAGAAATCTTGTTTTTCTTCTCCTTCAACGCAAAATATTTATTAAACAAGCTGTAAGGAACAGCACTCTTGTCTTCCAAATTCATTTTCAGCAATTCATGAGTTGTAAGCCATCTGTTTTAAAAACACGGGCCCTCAGTGTACCTACTGCACTTAAAAGCCTATCACCTTTTGGCACCTACAATTACAGTCTTTTATACAGTAACCTATTAATTTTCCTCTCTATTTTACTTGGGCACATTTAACCCACTGCTGCAATTCCAAGGACTGTCACTATATAACAAATCATAGTCAGTTTTAAAGAAGGCATTTTTTAAAAAGCTTTGGAAATTGACACAAAAATCCTTGTTTCCCCCCCCCCCAAAGAAAGTTGGGAAAGGGAACATCCACACACTTTAAGGACAGATTCACATATTGAAATTTCAATGACAAGCTATTGTGCATCTGAATAATGACCGAAAAGGACAGAGTGTAAAATGGATCTTGCCACAGGTCTAATTTTAGGATGGGAAGGGGATAAACAAAGCCAGCAACAAAAATACTCAAGGCACTGTATAATTATTAAATGAGCACAGATTTCATCTACCAACATTTATAGCAAACCACATTAAAATGCAGCCTATAGTTAGTAAGCTAAATAAGTTTCATGGTATTTAATTGCTGCTAATCAGCATGGCAAAAATAATTGCTTACAGTAAGACCAGATTTCAGCATCTGTGCACTGAAATCCATAAAAGGTAGGATTTATTTTCATTGTTTTTTAAACTGTGGCTTTTCTTATGTCCTAGAATAGGATCTGCTATTCAGGAAAAAAGCTTCACTCATTTTAGAAGATAGACTTCTTAAATAGAATTAGGAAGAAGTGAAACCACTGATTTTTCCTAACACTGGATTCATTTTGGTTTGCATAGGGAAACTATACCCAGAATTAATTAGGGGACATGCTGCAAATTGATTATCAAGAAGATTGCTTGCCCATATTTCACTCTTGTGCCACCTCTCCATCCACTCGTTTCTGGATCCTTGGCTTTGCTGGCTGATGCTCCATTTTTGCTGCTAGTTCTATGATGTGTGCAGTTTATTCTGGAAGCTTTGCGACACTTGTGGTTGGGAGAGTCTTCTTTTCTTTAAAACCTCCAACTTCTTTGGTGAACTTCTTTCAAGCTTTTGCTTTGAGAGGATATTCAATTGGGCTAATTTCCAAAGAAAATAGCTCCAAGTATGACTGACCAAAAAAACCATTTAGGCTTATACACAATATAGACAAGTTGGTATAGCAGCTCCTCAGAGTCTCTCAACTGCTACTGGCCCAGGACAAGTGCTAAGGAAGGAGAACATCTAAATGGAAACTTTTAGAAGAAAAGAAAGAGCTACCAGCCTGGTCCTCTCCCACCACTGCCAGCTAGCCAAATTAAAACAAAGCTGTGTAAAGTATGAATAAAGAAATGTGGGGAATGATACACCAAAGGCATAAAAGAAGCTGCAAAAGCCCGCTAGACATTTAGATATTTAAATAGATCCAACTGAAGTAGTTCTTCATTATAAGATGCTTTGTTCCACTTCTATATTAGCTAAGAAAGTGGGTGAAAAGTTCTTCATATCCAAATCCTAAACTCAATTCAAGGTTGAAAAAGTTTGAGAAGAAATAAGTGTGTTGCTTTGCTAGTGGAGAGAAGCATCAAATTGGACAGTGGGGGAAAGGGAAAAACTGAATGCCCAAACATCTTGGCTCTCCTAATGGAGCTAAAAGAAAAAAAAGAACAAAAAGCTACAGCTTCTAGAATGCAGAATATAGGATTGGGGAGAGAGGGAGGTGTCCTTTACAAGACAGGAAGACGTTTAAGTTCTAGTTTCTAAACCTTTCCTACTGGCTGTACCTTTTTTGATTAAGACCATATTACTGATTTTAGCAAACTATTTTTTTTCATGGAACTTGGATAATTGCTCAAAATACAATAAGGGCCTTGCAATGAATGCCCTCCACCCACCCCCAGCAATTTTCAGCACATCCTCAGAGTTAATCATGATTCAGAGCTGCAGCACAATTTAGAAATACAGGAATTGGAAGATTTGTACCACCAAGTCTGATGTTTTCACAGTGAAATTCAAAGAAAAGACTTTTTAGTTTGTGTTTCCATTCCACAATTAAGTTGCATCCTTGTTTTTTCAACAAGTGGCAGTGCAGTTCATCAAAATTATAAATCTTCAAGCAACACAGACTCAAAACAAAAGGAAGAATAAAAGGAGTTGTAAAATTCGAGATCTCTTCCTGGTACGGTTGGAGCAAAATAGTTTGACAGAAGCATTGCATAAAAGTTCGTGACCACAGTACCCTCCCTGGGTGCTTCTGTGCTTCTTCCTTTTAACATAGCTCTGAATGGCTGATGTTATCTCTGACCAGGATTGTTGTCTAGACCAGCATAAACTTCTGTGAAGATATAATTTTTTTAAAAATTAGGAAGGTAACCAAATTTATAATTTTTTAAAAAATTCAACATCTGTGATACTCCCCTAGGAAAATGTTAACTGGAGAAAGTTCCATAAGTAAGATAGGCTTTCCATAAGGATGAAAAACTAATAGCTAATATTCTGATTTATTATCTCTGCATTTAAACAAACCCTATCACTGGAAAATCAACAATGTTGTTCCTATTCCATCCCCCATGCTTGTCTTTTATTTCCCACATTCTTACTTATTTTTGCCTGGTAAATAATTTGATGGTATCAGCAGCCATCCTGTGGTAGGAAATAAAATAGATCATGTACAATAAAAAACAGAAGACTGTGTCAGTAGATACTCTGCAGTTTAAAAAATGCAATGTTTCTATGACTCCCATACCTAATCCACAGAATGAATTTGCCTGAACAACACACACTGAATAGGAGTTGTTGGGGAGAAGCTCTCAGCGAGGGGAAGACCACACCGATATATGAATTAGCTTTGATCTTTCCAATGTTTCTCTCTTCTCTCATTTATCTTTATTTCCATTTAACTTATTAAAAAAAACCCACAATGGTCTGAAGACAATTCCATCAGGTTCAGTTAGAATATTGTTAAAAACAAACAGCCCACTCTCCCTCTCTGACAGAAGTCAAATGGTACAAAATGTGGCCAACTTTTCTTTTTGACTTTTCCTATCAAATTCTGTACCAGTCTCCATAGACCAGGGGTAGGCAACCTTGGTTCTTTTATGACTCGTGGACTTCAACTCCCAAAATTCCTGAGCCAGCATAGCTTCTTTGCATAGCTGGCTCAGAAATTCTGGGAGTTGAAGTCCACGAGTCATAAAAGAGCCAAGGTTGCCTACCCCTGCCATAGACAGACACAATGATCATAGGAGTCAGGTATGTGGAGGAAGAATCAGTCAATGGTGGAGGCCAAGAGAACAAGGAGGAAGTCTGATGGATGACTGGAAGTATAGCAAATTGAGGAGGTGATGAAGGGGAAAGAGGAAAAAAGAGGGCATGCAAAACAAAAGTGAGAAAAGGAACAGAGAATGGAAAAGAAGAAAAATATGAAGCTGAAGGAGAATTTAAAAATGAAAATTATCACGGGAGGACAGTATATACAGTATAAAGAATGATAGAGAGGTAATATGAAGAGAAATTAAAATGGATGAAGAGGGCTCAAATGGAGTAATTAATAGATCTTGGAGAAGAGAGCTGAGATAATTATTTCTGCTTTAATTTGCTGGTTTTGTTGTATTTTAACTGGAGTTTTATCTCATTTTTATTACTGTTGTTATGTATAGCTTTTTTATATTTTAAAAGTCTATGTTGTGAACCAACTAGAATTACTATAATTATGACACCTGTTTTTTTGCATCCAACAAATATTCTAAATTTAGAGAAAATGCATAAAACAGAGCTCTGTGCCATTTAAGAATTATTTTAAGTCCCAGACATTGCTTTGACACATAACGAGATGATCCAGGTTTTGAGTTTAAAAAAATGACTAGTGGGAAGTATCAGTGAATATTCTTATTGGAAACTATTCTCATTGAACTGAATGGAGGTTGAACTGGAATAAACATAAGATACTTGTACTGCATAAATTCTTTTCTTTGCAATGCTTTTTATAACAATAACTATAACAATTAAAAAATAAGTCACCCAGAATCACTTGACAGTGAGATAGGTGGCATATATGTTTAATAAACAAATGAACAAATAATAAACAAATTAAATAAGAAATAAGAGTTCTGCCCAGAATAAGTAACTAAATAGCAAATGTATTCATGTATAAAAGACCGCTTTAGCTATCCCAGTAATAGGAAAGAAGGGCAATAAAAATATTTCACCTTAAATCACAGCAAGGGTTTTGTATTTATTTAAATCATTTTAAGAGCCCCCCCATCATATAACCAACCTTGGGCGGGTCCCAATAAGAGTTGTCACTCTTCTTTATTTATTAAACAAATTTATATGATTGCTCAATTCACATGTGGTGATTTGGGCAGCTTACAACATTAAAAATCCACAAAACTCCTAACCACCACCACTACCCCACCACCATTACCATCCCAATAATCCCCTAAAATCTCTAACTTCCACCCCACCCAAAAGACTCTTACCTTGTTTCAGTATCTCATCATGTCAGAAAATGTACAAATAAGATAGACAGGCCAATGTTCAATAAAATGACCATGCAGATGATTATTGTGTTAGGTCCCTAAGAGGGAAAAATTCAAGAGCATTATATTAAATATCTATTATGGTTTAAAACTAAATCTTAGATTGAAGATATCCTCAAAATATGAAACAATCATAATAGAAAATAGACTATCCATCTATATGCACAATGATCCTGCTGAATTATAACCTCCAAGCCTAGGAAGTACATCCAGTTGTGAGAGGTGCTGGGAGTTATAGTTCACCAACATTTAGAGCAACACATATTGCTGCCTACCACACATAAATTAGATTTTGTAAGAATAAGAACCTTACATAACACCCTTCCTCTAGAGCAGCAAGGATTACTTTTAATTTCAATTTTATATATTAACTGTAACTTTTAATGATAATAGAACCACAGATTATGAAGATTTCTGCTTTTCACTATTAAACATACAAACCACACTCCATATTGTATGTTCATTTTTTGCACATCTAAAATAAAAGTAGAAGCAATGGATCGTGCAATTCTAGAATACTGGGAAAGATGGGAAACTTCTCCAAATTCCAGAGATATAAGCCAGAGTATAAAGCAGGAAGAGAGGCAGTTTGGTGTAATGATTGGTGCCAAGTTAGAATCTGGGAGACTGTGAGTTCTAGTCCTGCTTTAGACACAAAGCCAGTTGGGAATCTGTGGACCAGTCCCTCTCTCTCAGCTGTATGGAGGAGGCAATCGCAAACCACTTCTGAAATCTTGGCAAAAAAACCTGCAGGGATTTGTCCAGGGAGTTGCCAGGAATTAAGATTGACTTGAAGAATACCCCTCTCCCCCAAAAGAGGAATTAAGAAAAGATATCTCCAAAGAAGGAAATGGCAAGTGACTTCCAAGAGCACTGCATGGACAGAACTAAGAAACTGGCTGGAATTAAACTTGATTCAAAGGAAATTTTATACTCCTTCTGGCCATATACAGAAGAGTAGCATATTTAGACTATTCATTTATCTACCAATTAGATAATGAACATGTGGTCTGACTAGTGAAATTTGTGTTTTGCTTTATTTTAAACTGCTACCTATCATTTCAGACTCCTCTCTGGTGGATTTGTTAATACATGTTCTGAACTGGAACATATTTAATTTAGTCTAAATAGCCTGGGGAGTTTTTTTTCCCATGTTGCTTACCTGGCTTTTAAGGGAAAAATCGGTGTAATGCATGCTTAAGTTGTTGGAAGTAAGTTGCTACATAAACCTATTGGGCAATACTCAATACTTGATCAATACCTCCTAGCCTAAGTTCTCCTACTTGATGGGATATGTTTGGAAGAAGGAGCATTATGAGCTCCTGAAGAATATAAATCTAAATAACCATCATCATGCTCTTCATTGACACAACTAGTAAATTTGAATCTGCAAACATTTTCATGGGCAAATTTTCCAGCAAATCATAAATATAGTACTTTGAATACTTTTTTCCCCTAGAAATCAGATGTTGAGCAGGAATTTGTTGTTGTGTAATTGTTATTAAACATCATTTTATGCTCATATATACAGTAACCTAGCAGCATAAAACAGCTGTAAATTTTTGCAACTTCCTTTTAAGAAAACTAAATTTTGCACCTGTCTAGTATTTAGGATTTTCTTAGAACTTACAGTATTTATTAGCAAACAGTATCTAATGAGAATAACCTCTTTAAGATAAAGTGCTAATGGCTTCATTCTCAGTTGTACTAGTTTCATAAAACTCAAGTCATACTGAAATACTGGACTTTTGAATTTTTTTTTTTACCAAGATCAACTTATCAATTTTTTACCTAAGCAAGATGGGTGGCATACAGGTTAATAAATAAATAAAGTGCAGTTTTTCAAAGAAGTAGTACAAAATGTTCATGTACTAACCTATTTTCCCACAAACCACAAGTGGAAAATTTAGAAAATGGCCAACATATTATTGCTTCTCTCTCCCTAATCACATCTGTTGAATGAACAACTCTCCCTACTATGAAAACAAAACCAATTTACCTCTTCTTGTTCTACCACCTCTTTTGTGGCTGCTTCTGGTGGAGAAACTTTTTTCACCACAGCCTTGGGCTCAGTTTTAGCTATTATCTTGACTTCAGGCTTGGTTTCACTCACAGCTTCTACTTTTTCTACTTTAGGCTCAGGTGGATGTTGTTTGGGCTCAAGCTTAGATTCCGTCTTGATTATTTTTTTCTCTTTATGACCTGGTTCATGTTGGGTGACAGGTGTACTTTCCCTCTTTTCTGGCTCCGATTTGTGATCCACTGCTTTCACATCAGCTTCTGGCTCTGGGGACCTTGACTTGGTAGGAAACGTGGAGTCTGAGAATGGGTCTTCTTCATTATCCATTGGGGGAGTAACTGGAGAGGTCCGCACAGCATAACCGTGATAGCCTTCAAATAATTTAACTTCACCTTCTTTCTGTATCCTTTCAAGAGGCTTGATCTCCATCCTATCGGTAGCAATCTTCATATGGCTGGGATGACTGGCGCTATGAGAAGCAGGTCTGATATTACTTCCTGACTTCTCCACTGGTGCCAGTGGAGCACTAGAAGATGTATTGGGCCTACTTCCTGTATAATTTCCATTCTTGCTATGATCTCCATTCCAGTTCCCAGGGCTGAGAAAACCATCTTTCTGTGAACCCTGCTTAGCACGCTTGGCCTCAGGTGGTGTGCCCGATGGCGATGGAGTTGGAGCTGGACTCTCCTTAGGTTTCATGAACTCCTGCTCATCAGTTTGAGGACTTTCTGGAGGTGTTGCTGGAGATGTCTCTTCAACAGGGGGTGTTTCTTCTATATTCTCAACATTTTCCTCATTTTCCATGAGTTCCTGGAGTAGCTTCCTCTTCAGATATTCAGGGCCTAAGAAGGAAAAGAAATTCCAAGCATTATCAAAAGGTCATTTAATATCTCCCACACTTGTAAGTTTGTGGCTGATAGTTAGTCAAGTTTAACCTTGCCACCTCTAGACCTATGAATCGGAAACTCATCCCATCATGAAGTGGGTTAATTAAAGGAAGGCTGACTCATCATTTTATCATGCTGTGCCAAGGAGAAATAGGGTAGATTAAGTCAACCTGCTGTCATTCAATGAGACATTGTTTAAATTATTTTTATATCACTAACTTCATATAGCTTCCCGGAGACCTGCAACCAATATAAAAACCACACAATCACAAGAAACAATGCCATCTCTAGAGACAAAAACCTGGTAATGAAAATGACTTTTTCATTTAACTTAGAATACTGTAACCTGTAACCCTGTCTAAACAAACAAACAAACAAACATTTTCAATAATCCAATATTCTATGGAAGAGCACAGTCTCTATTACTCTCATACCCAACACTCCTCTCCCCCCCCCCAGCAAAAGAAAACAAATTTTAAAAACCCACAGCACACCAGAGGACCACTATGTGTGCTGGAAAGAGGGAAAGAAACTTATGAGCTTTTTTTTAACAAGAAGATGAAATCCATTGAAAAGTAAGACTCTCTTTCCTAATCTCTACTCAGAAAGCAATTGGTATGCCAGAATCTTAGAATCAAGTCTCTATTAAATTTATTAATTGTTATAATGACTGCTTGGTAGTGGAGTACCACCCTTTATTAGAACTCTTTTCATTCCATTTCCTTATAGCAAATACTAGAAAAGCAGAAGCCTAATGCTGCTGCCATGTAATGATCATCCAGGGTTTACAGCCCAGATATGGTAGCCCTACTAGTAAAGCTCTGCCTAGCTGTTTATCTGCACATAGAGATATATCACTTGTGCATCTTCTCAGGGATATAACCTCTATATCAGTGGTTCTCAACCTTTTTAATGTCGTGACCCCCAACTGGTTGTAAGTCGAGGACTACCCAATCGGTCGTAAGTTGAGGACTTTCCCTGCCCAGGAGTGCCACGCATGCGTGGTGCCACCCCCTGCACCAGCCAAGGCATAGCTGGCAAGCGGCAGAGATGGCACAGGCCGACCACCGGCTGGGCCACCAGCTGGCCCAGCCCAAGGGAGGTAAGGCACCCGCCGGGCCCCACCCGCGCCAGCAACCCTCCCTGCACCCGCCGGCCTCCCACCTCCCACCCCTGGCCCTCTTTTACTTACATTTTTAGTAGTTGCTCAGCAGGGAGGGGTGGAAACTTCCAGACAGTTCACCTTCGCTGCAGACAACTTGCAGCACCGTTTGCAGAATGGGACTTTTGGCGGGCTCAGCAGGCAGAGACAGCCTGGACAATTCCTATTGGCTTTTGAAAGCCAATAGAATTAGATTCTATTCAAGTGAGTCTATTCTATTGGCTTTCAAAAGCTAATAGAATAAAAGGGAGTAGCATAGCTAAGGAAAAGGGGGAAAAAATGGCAGACTGCGTTGTTTGGCGACCCCCGTGAAATGGTCGTTCGACCCCAAATGGGGTCCTGACCCACAGGTTGAGAACCACTGCTCTATATAAAGATTGGATGGAAAAAAGAAAAAGAAATTTGTCCTTAATGTAAAGTGAGCTCTCAGATAGGCGCATTGCTTACTAATAAGATCATCCACCTGTGACATCAAGATCTTGTTGGAAGCACTAGAGAAGTTGACCTGACTTAGTTAAAGAAGGTGACTTCTGGGTTCAGGTTGCACTCTGTCTTCATCTCATTGCATGCCCCGTATCATTGCCACGGGTTTCATTATTATTTATAGGCTAGTCAAAATCAGTCTGGTTTTCTCTACTACTCCTATGGCCTTCCCCCACAACTTTGAACATGCCTTTAATGTGAACCAAATAATTAGTTTTAATCAGCAAGATAAAATTTATGACTATAACTAAGATAGCAGGAAGCTTCTTATCTTAAACCAAGCTCAGAAAATCTTCACAGTTAACTTTTAAATTTACAAATGTAAATTCTACACCAGTTCAATCATCTTTTATGTGTGCATTTCTTCCAATATTCAGATACTCTTAAGTAACATTTATAACTTGCAGAGTTAATGTATCAGAGATTGAATAATAGTTTTACATCTGTTTTATAATTTACATCTAAATTGCTTTCAATTTTATAAATTATAGCTGAATATGAATTACAATAAATGTTTCCTATCCTAGTTCAGAATGTCATAGATTTTATAAAATCCCTGCATAAACTGGTATAAATAACAGAAAATGTAGATACAATATCTTCTCCTGAAATTCCTCTTCAATTGTAATAGTATATATTTTATTTATGTCAATAAATAAGTACTATCAATTGAAAACTTTAGAACAGAATAGTTGCATTTGGAGAATCTTTTCTCATCTATTTAAACCAAGATATAAACAATCAAATATATTAAAACTTCAAACAATGCTTTAAATACCATATGTAGTTAGATTGGAACCATTTAGGCATAACCAGATAAAACCTGAATCTATGGTTAATATATCCCATTTTTATTTTTCAATTCATATAAAGAAAGGACTAGAGTGCATCCAAGATTCGTTGCCTTACTAAGTTGATACATGATTGCCTGAATGTGGTCAAAGCTGTAATTTTGCTCATTTGTATGAAGATAATTTATCTATCAGTCTGGCCCACTGAAATTACATAGCAAACACTATTGTTATATAAATGTTGCACTATTATACCCTTTTAAAAAACAATACAGCTGTAACAAAAAAAGGAAACAGAATGTAAGTCCAAAATATCAAAATACAAAAGTTAAAAAATAATATATCACAACTGCATCTCCACCCCTCCCCCAAGTTTGCCATAGTGGCTAAGGAACCTACATTCTTTCTCACTACTTGAAAAAAACCCAGAGTTAATTATTACTCAATGCATTAAGGGCAACACTTTTAGATTATGCTCCAATTAAAAATAGGAAGGAAGGAAGGAAGGAAGGAAGGAAGGAAGGAAGGAAGGAAGGAAGGAAGGAAGGAAGGAAGGAAGGAAGGAAGGAAGGAAGGAAGGAAGGAAGGAAAATTTCTTTCATACAATATTGTTCTACTACTTGTTAAATCTTTTCCACTTTTCTACTACTGTTTGAGAGAAAAAGATATGTTCCTCTTCTCCAATAGAAGAGCTCATAATTTTTTACCAAGAGGAATAATGACTAGACACTGTCATAAGTTTGAATTATTATTATTTATTAATAATAATTAATAATAATTAAGTTTATTATGGCTGCCTATTCCAGTAGAGTCTGGTAGTCTTACAAAATCCAAAGAAGTAGATTTTTAACTGTAAAAACAGTTAAAAACATAAACAACCTAGACAACCCAGACTAAAAATGGCCACAACAGTAACAATAAACCATGACAGGGGCACCACCAACATACCTAGACCTGGGACCAGACCATATCTTAAGGGTTTTCTGGAACCCAAGGTGAGTGGGTGCCATTCATACCTCTGAGGAGATCCTGTTCAAGAAGGTGGGGATTGAGCCATCTGAAGGCAGATTTCCTTGGTCACACAAATGGCAGCATTTAATAGAGGGGACCTGAAGCATATCCACTCTGCCAAAAATACACCAGGTAGGCAGAAGATGATAGGCAAATGTTAACAAGGCTACTATTTTCTTATGTATGGTGGGAATAATCACACTACACAATGTCTACAGCAGCCAGCACTAGCATTCAAAATCACAGTATAATTTTAATCAGGTATAAGACAACCTGTAATCCTTGGGTCACCATTTCAGAAATATTTCCTTACCTAAACAGAAAAACAGAATGATCACAGGCAGTCAAAAAAAAAAAAAAAAAGCAGAGTGAGATTGACTTTGAGCTTCCTGTTGGCTTCCCCATTGAGTTTCCTTGTGGGAAGCTGGCAGTGAGCATCAGAAATTTATTTATTTATTTATGAGACTTATATACCGCTTTAAGTGCAAGCACTTTCTAAGCGGTGTACACCAGTAAGCAATGTATATATATATATATTTACATTGCCCCCAACAATCTGGGTCCTCATTTTACCTACCCCGGAAGGATGGAAGGCTGAGTCAACCTTGAGCCGGTGAGATTTGAACTGCTGACCTGCTGAACACAGTCAGCTAAAGTGGCCTGCAGTACTGCACTCTAACTGCTGTGCCACCTCGACTCATTAAATCTCCCTCTCTCCCTATTGTCTCCCTTCCCTTCCCAGCAGGCAGGTATGTGGCTGCTGATGGATGGGGGAGGGAGTGAGGGATTGTGCAAATGGAAACTGTCAAAGAACAATGAAATTAAGAATCAGAATTACATGACTGCAGCAGCATGGTAATGACACTGAAGCAGCAACAGCCCAGTGGTGCTGAAACAGCCACAACTTCCCCCAGTTTCATTCCCTTGATAGTAATGGATCCAGGCAATCTGTAAGTTAAATCATTTGAGATACTTTGGCTCTGAAACCGTTTTACCCTATAATGCACCATTTTACCAAGTTAACAATTGTACAACATTTTAGTAGCATATAGAGGATTTTTTTTTAAAAAATGCAATGATTTTGTTTAATAGCAAAAATCTTAATAGTCCCTCAGTCAGCTACACAATTCAACTAACTACCTTCCATAACCTATCATGTGCACACTGCTTAATATATGAGGAAGCTCATATGTTTTAAACCATGTCGTTTATTTAAAGAAAACATTATTAAGATTTCTGAGCATAGCTGTAAGGAAACAGAATTGCTTTTTGCCTTCACTTCCAAAATCAATGTTGAGAAAATTTCTGAGAATCTAAAACAATTCAGACTCCTATGGTAGTAACAAATTCAAACATTTGGAACATGAACAAGCAAATCTCTTCCAAAATGGATTCTGTTAGCGAGCAGATATTGTTGCATCTCTTCTTTATGTGTACACATATAAAATATTAGGTATGTGGGTCAGCTGCTCCTGCTACTTTATCAAGAAGAATGAGTTTGAGAAATG